TTTTGGATTTTTTTTTTTAATTTCTTTTCAGTGTAACAGAATTCATTGTTTATGCACCACACCCAGTGATCCATGCAATACGTGCCCTCCATATTAATAAATACAGTGATCGCCTCGATATGCTCTAACAACAAACAGTACTGAACCTTTGCTGTAATGAGCCTTTTACATGTACTAACTCATATGAGCCTCATAAACACAAGGCATCTGCTAGGATTATCCCCTTTTTTACACAAAGAAACAGGGGCACAAAGTGGGAAGGAGACACAGAGCTAATAAGAAGCAGAGCTGGAATGTACACCAAGATCTGACTCTAGTTCCCATTCTTAAGCATGATGCACTTTTACCTCCTTTCCAAGCTGCCTCCCCCTGGCTGGTGAAGGGCAGGAGCCTGCCTCTCCCTCTCCCATGCAACTCTCCTTGAGCAGGGCAGCTGGGTTAGGCAGATGCAGCCACGGTTCGCACTGGTTGCCCTTGACCTGAGACGCAGGACCCCAGCACTGACTTCTGAGCTCCCACATCATTCCCCAAGTCACATCTGACCTTCCTTCATTGACCTCAATGGTCAAGTTGCTCGTATGATCCTCTCCTCTGGTACACAGGCCCTGCCCCTAGCACCTGCCTCCCCTTCAAATCAGCTTGGTCCTTTACTCCCAGTTGCCTTGGTGCCCTTGCAAGGAGATCACCTTGCTTCTTGCAGACCTGCCCCAAGGCCCTGCAACACCTCTCCACATACCCACAGGGCTATCAAGAAAATCTGAACCAAACTATTTACCCAAACTGCAAAACTTAATGTACCAAATTTTCAATGCATGAGAAATTCCCCCATAAATATCAAAAACATTTACTTTGCTTACCAAAGTTAGCCATTATGATTATGCTTTCCCCCAAAGGCTAAACAAGGTACATTTCCCCCATCATCATCTAAAAAGTACGTATAATTTATTTATCATCGTTCCCATTCACTTGAGTAATATTGCTTCACAGTTCACATTTCAGTTCAATGTTCAAGGATGAAACTGGGCATCTCCAAAAGAACAAGAAGAATGGAGGACAGATGGAGAGCAAGGATTTAGAGTAACCAGTAGTGTTCCTTCATCATCCAACCGTCTTTTCACTTAAGAGATAGCTGATGAATGCCTGTCATGTGCAGGCGTGATGATATTTTTGGTGAGGAGCCCACAGAACAGGGAAGCAGAGGGTGTAGCTAAATGCACCTCGAGGTGGTTTTCACGGAGCCCTGTAGGACAGAGGAAGAACCATCAGCCACACTGGGCAGCATAGGAAAACAGAGCTGATAATCATCGCAACCACCATGACTGGCCCTGGATCCAGAGGCGTGCTGATATTATCAGGGCTTTGAATTTAAGGACAGGCTCAGGAACAAGCCCTCAAAGGGTATTTGTCACATAAGCCTGATGGTAGTTTCTGGCACATCGTTGGATTATTCCAAGTATTTAGCAATTCAGTAATCTGATTCACCATACCTGTGACAAACCAGGGCTTGCTTTGCACGGATCACCAGAATGTGGCCTCCATGCCTTCATTTTTGATAGCTAACAGCTCATCCCACATCATGCCAGCTCGCTCCTCTCAGTCCTTCACAAAGCAAAGGAAATCACCTCAGTGAGCCAGACGGTGGCGAATGATGCTGAAGGCATTGCTGATACCCAAACTTGTGGCGAAATTACGAGTCTATAGTGTGCAATAAGTTCAGAACGATATTGTGGTGTTGTGTGTGTGCGCCTCGAGGGCATCAAATTTGGTTTTATATTTTAATTTCCATTTCTCAGACCTTTCTTTATACATCAACGAGAAACTGGTTTGTTTGGGTTTGGTTTTGGGGTGGTTGGTTTTACAAACCTTCTGACATTGGTTTGGTCATCAGAGAAAACAAAAACCTAATCATTCTTTCCGACTTCTTAGAGGTGTCATGAGAATTAACTTAATGCAAATATAAGTGCTTTATTAAGCATCATTATTTAAAAATCCCTTGCAGATGTTAGCGTGTGGCTTGCTGAAATAGTACACTCTCCCAAGGCCTGCAGAACATAAACCACAAAGCCCTAAATCCTGCGGGTCTGTAACCCACGCAAGCTCTTAGCATTAATAGAGCAAGACCCTAAGAACCAAAGAGAAGCTTCCAGACACTAATGTGGGTCTGGAATCCCACACTGAGTGAAGTCATCCCTTTTTCTGCCCAGCTTCTCTGTTTCTAAGGGGCCAGTGAGTTCCTGCTTACTGGAAATAAGGTGGGAAACAAGGCTTATTGATTTTCACCCTGCTCAAGAATCCCAGTGTGTGGACACCAGCAGCTGTGTGATGTTTCACCAAAGCCCAGCTCTGTGGAACTCTCTATTTGAGTGGAACAGGTCCCTCCTATAGAAGGGACCACGATTCCTCTAGCTTCCATCAGCAAAATGCATGAAACACATTATGGCCATTGAAAGGCTTGTTCTCTGTCCTGCTTATTATTAAAAGAATGGGGAGAACATTCTGTTTTTCTTTAGTGGTGTTTATTTTAAACCTAATCCCATGCTAAGCCTATAATATGTATGGGACCTATTTGATTGCCTAAACAATAGAATAATCTCTGCCTATACATATTTTTCAAAACCTTAGAATGGTCATTTTTTTTTATATTTTATTTATTTATTTGACAGACAGAGATCACAAGTAGGCAGAGAGGCAGGCAGAGAGAGAAGGGGAAGCAGGCTCCCCGTCGAGCAGAGAGCCCGATGTGGGGCTCAATCCCAGGACCCTGAGATCATGACCTGAACTGAAGGCAGAGGCTTTAACCCACTGAGCCACCCAGGTACCCCAGAATAGTCATTTTTTAAATGGCTGGAGTTTCGTTCACTTGATTTTGTTTTTATTACTATGGAATTGGGACCACACTGATCATGTGTCCTTTCTGTACCAAACAAAACTTATAAATTCCAATTCCCAGAAAGAAAAACACTCTTGAAACAGGAATGATTATATTCACCATCTCTTCATTCCGTTCAGAGACTTACAGGCCTGCAGTAGATTATAGAAAAAGGAGCTGTCTCCCTCAATCACAGGGGCTCCTTCAACATCTTAGGAACCCAGCCTAAAGAAAAATGTCCATACAGGCTAAGGTTTATTATCCTGGAAATTCTCCAACGAAGAAGAGCTGCTTTTCGTTTCCTTGGCTGCCATCTAGTGGGTAATGATGTCATGTCACTAAAACACATGACATCTGTGAAGACAGAAGATGTCTGCCTGCCTGTCTTTAAAACAAACCCCCCAAACACAATAATTAAAGAAATATTATTGCAGACATCAGGCAATTATCCTTTCTCAGAATTTCTATTTAGATCCAATGTGTTATTCTCCTTCCTTTTTCCATGGGAAGGCAACTGATTGAATGATCATTGATTTGGCACTAATATTGTGCACTAGGATTAACGCTGTAAGGAAGCCCTAAGGCAGATCCAACCACAGACTGGGAACTAAAAGGTAAAGTTTCAGGGCTCTCCATTGAAACCAAGAACCTCAGCTAACTTGAGCTTAGACCAGTGATAACCCAACGAATAGCTGTTTCTTTGGCACACCTGCTTCTTGTAGCAGTAACCAAAACCAATATTGAGACTGTGCCGTTTTAGATTTATCTCTACTAAGTTTATTCTATGAGCATTTTTAATGGGGTCTCTAATTCCTGGAGAACATTATGTAACAGGTCAGCTGTTTAGTAGCATCTCCGTCTTTCCAAATTACAATCAGATTCCAGACTAAGAAACATCGGTTTCAGATTCTCAAAAAGGGAGGGCTCAGGGAGGTAAAAAAACAAAAACAAAAACAAAAAGCCACACAGTAGAAATACAAGGAGTCTAAAAAAACAAGCCCATAAGCCTCTGCCTTTTATATCTCTTTCTGGGCTTTGCAGGTTAAACATACACACACACACACACACACACACACACACACACACACACACGTGCGCGCGCACACATGCAGCTGAAATGTAGACCAGTCTTTCCCAATGGTCTCTCAACCAAAGCCTGGTCATCTACATGTGATTGCAGATAAATAAAAAGTCACTATTAATTATATTTGATGCCACAAGTTAAGAAGAATATTCTAGCAGACATCCACCCTCCCTTGTTCTACATGAGAATGGGGCTTGAAGAAGGGACAACAGCTCTCATTTAAGGCTGTCGAAGGTAGTGGTTCCGAATGTGGGTCATGGTACAAGACTGCATGGGTTCAAATCCTGGCTTTGCTGGTTGTGATCATGACCTCAGGAGACTTACCAGACTTTCCTGTGCCCTGGTTTCCTGAAACATAAAATGAAGATGCCTCCTCTGTAGGGTCATGGTAAGGATTAGAAGAGTTCTTACAAAAAATATGCCTGGAAGGATACCTGGAATGCAGACAGGGCTTAATAATGGGGAGCGCCTACTAATGTGTCCAGATGTTTCCAAATAATTTGCAAAGGAGTGCGGATGGTTCCCCTGACTGGGAGTTCTGAAACCTCCAAAGATGGAAGATATCGAAGGTCAGGTCTCAAAGTACAGATAGTGAGACACCTGCCAGCAAGGCCACCACTCTGTACAAACTCAACTAACTCTAACATGCTCATGCCTAAACAGTTGATGAGTGTTCATTTATGATATCTCTGTGAGTTCATTTCAACCTGGTAACAAAGCTGAAGTCCCAGGGATGCATGTAATGTAGCATTTCTATCTCTGTTGAGGCAGGAGAGGAGAGCCTTTAAGAGCTTATGAAACAATGTGCCTCCAGTGGGGGTTGATTCTGCCTGTTATACAAACCCCACGAGTCATCTTGTCAGAGTTAAGTTGTACTAAAATGTAAGCCCTTCTCTCCCCCCAGGTGTTCTCTGATTCTGATTTTGCTCCCTGAAAAGCTCAGGTCTGAGCCTGAGCCCAAGAAATCTGATGCTGTCTCAAAAAAGAAAATGGGGGAGGATAGAAAAACCTTCTCATGACTCAGTTTCTTTTTGGTATTATTTAAAGACATGCAAAGCCTTGAGAAGCTCCTGAGAGATGCTGTAATCTACGGCCAGCCTCGAATCCGCAGAGCCTGGAAGAAGATTCTCATCCTAGTGGAGGGCATCTACAGGTATGGAAATAACCAGAGACATTTTTAGGCACTGGGGCCCACAGCGAGCTGACAACTGAGGAAAGTCTGACCTCTCCTAGCTCCATGGAAAAATGAATTGGATGTAAGGTATTATGAAGGGACTGAAGCCAGAGCTATTAATGTGAGCTGTCAGGCCTTGGGTCACCTGGCTTTTCAATGTCTCTGCATATGACAGAACGCTTCAGAGGCTGGATTCTTGTGAAGGTGTCCTCAGAAATGTCCTCCCAGGGCACCGATAACTTGCACTGATTCTCTCCACTACCGTTGGCTGCCCTACAGTTTCAAAGGCTTAGGGGGTGCTGGGTTACTCAACATCAGAACGCTTCTTGCCTGGGGTGTGTGAGTTGCTCAGTTGGTTAAGCATCAGATTCTTGATTTCTGCTCAGGTCATGATCTCAGGGTCACAATATGGAGCCCTGAATTGGGCTCCACACTGAGCAAGGAGCCTGCTTAAGATTCTCTACTTTCACTCTCTCTTTGTCCCTTCCCAGCCTCCCACTCGCAAGCTCTTTCTCTCAAAAAAAAAAAAAAAAAAAAAAAAAAAGAGAGAGAGAGAGAGAGAGAAGACAGAGAGAGAGAGAAAAGGAATGCTTCTTGCCTTCATGGCATTGCTGGTAGGCACCCAGATGCTTCTAATTGGAGAGTGCACCCAAACACAAGTTGCCTGCTGAACTGGGCCAGTTGTTGGCATTAGAATACAAAAAGCCAGCACATTTTCCACAAGGTTAAGACTAATCTCAAAGACAATTCTTGATCCAGAGCTGGGAGCAGCTGGACTTAGCATCTGAAGGTGTGCTCAGTTTCCCACCGCTTTGAAGCCATGCAGACAAAACACCCACTAAGCCACTGAGAGCTTGTACAAGGCAGTTGTGATGGAATTGGTTTCATTCTCTGTCTGAATTGGTTATCACTACTGAAATGGAAATTGCCTCCAGGCCATTCTTCTATCGAATGCCCTTGTCCCTGCGTCAAAGAAACATCATCTCAGAGTGCTCCCTCCTTAAATCAGTTCTCAAACAATCTTCATGTTCAAAGAATTGAGGGAGTTGTTTCTTATAATTATGGAAAAGCGAACAATATTAGATGTAAGGGAATGAGAGCTTAACTTCCCTACAAGGAGAGGTGTGCTCGCAAAGAAGACTTAGATCTGATGGGACTTTCCAGTCAGCCAGAGTGTGCATCATTTCCATTCCATGAATGGATAACAAGCAGCAGAAGAAACGTGTCTCCACCCTTCTTGGGAAAAAGAAGTGCGTTCTCCTCGATTTAAAATAATAATAATAATAGTAACTGTAATAGTAATAATAATGAGCCAGGTACCATCTTGGTTTTTTCCTTCAGCCTCACTGTCCCAGCACCTGGTGTTCTGGATGTCCCTAGTGCTACTGTAGAGTTGCAAAGATGGCATTGCAAGTTTCCAGCAGCCCACGTTATGTATCCCCATCAATAACTCCTCGGGTCAGCCCTCAGATGATACCCTATTTATAAAGTCTTTGGGGTCACCCTGGAGGAGCAGTCTCTATCAAGGTGATTCCCTTCCACAACCCGCCCCTATCTTGGAGAATTTGGACAATTTTCAGTTGGCACAACAGCCACAGAGTACTATTGGCTTCTAGTGGGCAGAGGCCAGGGATACCGCTAAGCATCCTACAATGCACGGGACAGGCCCCCACCACAGAGAATCAACCTGCTCAAAGTGTCAACAGTGCCAAGACTGAAAGACCCTACTGTAGAGTCATTCAATTAATAATTCAATTTTATGAATAGTTTACTCACTAGCCTTGAACTTGCTACTTTTCAGAAATAATCTTATTGACTCTGGGCTGTTATAACCTCAAGCCCAGATCTTTCTCCCTGTGTGATCTGTGCCAGCTGCCAGTCTGGGAAGAGAGCCTTTATCTAAACACATGTCATTCAGGCCTGGACTTGTGGGAGCATGGATCAGCTGAGGGAGAGCAGACTGGGCATCTCCTTTAACCAGAATTGACAGAATCCAACTGCAAGTAAACAGAACTTGTTTCCAGTAAAGGAAAGTTGTGTTTGAAGTACTTTGATTATAGCTGAAATTAATTGGACCGGACCACTAGCATTTTACTGTCAACTAGTCCCATCAGTTACACAGAGAACTCACTCCAGCAACTGGGCTTGTTCATGGCTGGGCCTGTGTCCTACCACCATGATCTCAGGAGGACAGCAGAGACAGGTGTGGACTTCTGGCTCCAAGCCGGCATGGCACCAAACCACAATCTGAGCTTCGCTAGCAATGGGTCCTGCCCTGTTACCTGATACCGTGTTACAAACCACCCAGACCATAATGGCTTACACAGCAATGAGTTATTATTTCCCACACCACATGGGTTGCCTGGACCCACTGGGCAGTTCTTTTGCTCCACATGGTGTTGGCTGGGGTCATTCATGGGGTTGCATTCAGCTGGGAGTCCAGGTGGGATCTGGAACATCCAAAATGACCTCACTCAATACTAGCTATTGGCCAAAGTACATTGTTCCCTTCTCTTCTCTGGGGTGCTTGGTCTATAGGCTCTTCTTACTCAGCAATCAAGCCAGAACTTCCTTAAAACATAGTGCTATCTTCTGAGAGAATGAAAGGAAAAGCTGCCAGTCCTTTAAGGGCAAGGCCCAGAACTGGGATAGCATCATTTCTGCCATGCTCTATTGGTCAGAGTATGGCCAAAGGTCAGCCCAGATTTAAGGGAAAGGAAGATAGAACCCACATTTTGATGGGAGGATTGGCTTGTGTGTAGAAGTTTGGGAAGACTTGCAGGCAGCCATATCTGGAGGCAATCTACCACAGTGGTTGAATCAGTGTGGCATTTATTTGTATGAGGAAACCTCCACTTTCCTTGGATTTCCTTCATAGAGAGCTTCCTTTTATCTCATCTGACGGAATCTTGTCTTTATGTGAAAGTGAAACTGTGACCTCCAAAGGCCCATACATAGCTAGGAAACAGGGCACCTCTAAAAAAAGGCTCGGTACTTCCTGGGGCCTCAGTTTCCTCATCTGCAGAATAAGGCTAACCAAGACTGGAGTTCTGGAACATAGTGGATGTTCTCATTTGTTGCTGTCACCAAAAAATGAAATTATTTCCCACAAAATTTTCTAAAAGGCCAGGGTTAATAATGTGAAATCAACAGTTCACAAATGCACTTCTACTTGTTAACAAAGTGCTATGGACACATACCCTGTCAACATCAACACAAAGCCTCCTTTGAATTTTCACTCCTGTATTTTTTTTTTTTAATCTATTGCTGTGGTTTGCCACCATGGGCAAAGTTCCCCCTACCCCCACCACAAATGCCTCATATAAATCAATTTTTCATAATTCCTAAAAAAAAGAGTCAGCCAAATCAGACAGTTTCAGGCAAGTATCAAGGTAGAAAAAGCAGATACCAAATCTAAGAAATCCATCAATTCCACAAAAGCAGTTATGATCATGATAATTATACTAACAATAATAACAATAATACTGTCACCATCCATAAACCATCTAAGTCTCATTATATAGAGAGAGAATATGGAGGATTCTGGATCTGGAGAGAGGCCTGGGATCAGGGTTCAAATCCCAGTGTTGTCACCTACGGTTCTGTGCCCTTCATAGGGTTCTATTGTAAGTATTAAATAAGATCATAGAACCTCGTTCTTGGCAGAAGCCCAGTCTGTGGTAAGCCCACAACCAACGGCAGCTGTCTGGATCATTAAATTTCTTTTCAGTGGAGGAGGTTGCAACATGGAAAACAGTAAGCTCTCTGCATAGTGAAGCTGTTTTCTCCACCCAGCTGAAGGATGGATGTCAGGGGAAGGAGCTTGCATTTACTCTGTGTCTGCTCCTGGCTTCACATGTCTGATCTTGAGGAAACCTCCCCATTCTCTTTGAGGTTACTGTGAAGAGGAAGACACTTAACCCAGGACAGATAACTTAGATGAAATAGAGCCAAGATTCAAATGAGGGAGCCCCACTGGAACAGAGGTCCAGTATCAACAAAAGACTCCACCCATGTGCCCCCATCCCATGAAATAAACATGGAAACTGTAAAAGTCCTCCGTGTGGCCTTCACCATTTACCTACACAGGGCTCAGTGTCTTCATCTGTAAAATAGGGAGAGTGAAACTTGAGATCTAAAGTTCTGTGAGTTCATGGTTTGGGGCTTAAAATTACAATCATACTATTATAGTGTTCTCATCTGCATTTTCTTTTAAGTATTACTTTAAAGTCAGACTCTTCTAGTTTTGTGTCTCTGAAAAGTCTAGTTGGTGGATTCACGGTGGTCAAGAAGTCTTGAAATTATTCAAAAATATACTAGAGAAGGGCAGGGGGTCCCAAATAGCCTGGGAGATGAAAGCAGCCTGACTAGAGCTCAAATGTTCAAAATAAAAAGTATTGAGAAATAGTGACCAGCCCTTCCAGGAAACATATACGTAAATAAATCTTTAAATCTCAGAATGCCACTCTCTCTAAGGGTATAAGCCCTTCTCCCAAAAATAGTGTAAGTTTAAGGATTGAGAACTTTAACCTATGATTTAAATACATACAGGAAAAAAGGAAAAGAAAGTACTTTATTTTTAATTAGTCTTAGCTCTCTTCTTTTTCTCTTTTTACCCTCCTTTATTCCCTGGATTATACTTGGGGCCCACCAAGGAGATTTTTTCCACCGTGTAAGTTGGCAGACCAGTGGTTTAATTCCAATCCTGCCAATGGATAATATGCTTTCTATGTGGAGGGGAAGGTGGTGAGAGGGAAATTTCAAAAAAGAGTCTTGCCACTTAGCTAATACATTATGTAACAGAAACGATATAAAGAAATTATTCATCAGCTTGTGCTTCAAGACTAATTCAAATCCTTGCACAGAGCTTCAAATTAACTGATGGAATTATCTCTACTTATGGTTGTATTTTAGTTGTTTTTCTTTCATTGAAGTCAAAAGAAAACACAACTTGCCATTCAGGAAGAAAAAAGTAAAACACCATCCTTGTTTTCTTTTTCATTTCTGTCACTGTGTTTTCTGATAGCAATTTACAGGAATAACATAGAAATCCCTTTTCTACACATGCACCAATCTCAATATCCCACTGTAGGAAAGGGCTCGATTCAAATTTGTTCACATTAAGAAAATGAAAACTTAGTGCAGGTGAATATAACTCTTTATAAAAGTTGAGTTCTCCCCAGGACTCATGCGTGCCCTGTAGCAACTCCAGAAATCAACAGTACTGTAGAGTCATTAATCTTAGAGGAAGAAATATAAACCAGGTGGGCAGACTCCTAACATCAGCTAGACCAGCCCCAGCAAAAGATGGCTAATTAGCTGCCTTGAGTGTCTGCAAACTGTTCAGCATTAACTCTGGCTCCTGCCAAATTCAGTTCCAGAACAAAGCATGGTTGTGACATGTCAGGTTTTCAGCATAGTTGTGTTACCAACTTATAACATGTTAAAGATGAGAAGTAGATCCTAGAATTTTGAGGGCATATAGCCATTTCTTATGTATGACACCCATATGCCTCTTTCCTGGAAGATTCAACACAGAGCATTGTTAAGGGCTCCCCATTTCTCAAGTCAGGCCTCACTCCAAACATTTCCTCCTACGCTCCTCCTAAGGAAAAGAACAAGCCAGTGAGTGCTTGTTATGCACCAGACACTTTACAAACATTATTTCTAGAAAGACCTTATGAGGAGGGTTTCATCATCATGCTTTCTTTACATCTGAGAAAATGGAGGCAGAGAACATCGTGTAAGTTGCCCAAGCCCTTAGTTGGTAAGTGGTGTGGCTACATTCTAAGCCCAGTCAGATGGCTGTACCTTCTCCCCTCATTGGAAACCATGTTAACAAACAATTAATCTAAGAAAATACTGGAATTAACTCAGAAACTTATATAAGAGAAGATGAGTGTCTTTGGTTTCCATTTCATTAAAATCTGAAACCAACCATTCAGAATGACTTTGTGAGAAACACAAAGGCAATAAGCTGGACTTCATTAAAATTAAGAACTTGGGCTTTGCGGAAGACCATGCCACGCGAATAAGAAGACAAGCCACAGACTGGGAGAAAACATTCGCAAAAGATACATTGATAAAGGACTGTGATCTAAAATGTACAAAGAACTCTTAAAACTCAACAGTAAGAAAGCTAACAATCTGATCGAAAAGACCTTAGCAGACACCCCACCAAAGAAGGTATGTAAATGGAAATACACATAGAGAAAGATGTTTCACATTATATGTCATGGGGGAGATGTAAATTAAAGCAATAAGATACCACCACACGCCAGTTAAGATGCCAAAATCTGGAAGACTGGAGAGGATATGCAGAAACAGAAAGATTCATTTATTGGTGGTGGGAATGCAAAATGACACAATCACTTTGGAGGAAAGTTTGGTGGTTTCTTACCAAGCTAAACATACTCTTACCATACAACCCAGCAAGCATGTTCCTTGGTATTTCCCCAAACTGGTGAAAACTTGTGTCCACACAACACCCTGCACATGGATGTTTATAGTATCTTCATTCATAATTGCCAAACCTTGGAAGCAGCCAAAGTATCCTTCAGTCAGTGAATGACTAAGTAAACTGTGGGGCATCCAGACGATGGAACACTATTCAGTACTAAAAAGAAATGAGCTCTCAAGCCATGAAAAGACACGGAAGAAACCTAAATGCATATTATTAAGTGAAAGAAGGCAATCCCAAAAGGCTATACAGTGCATAATTCCAACTACATGGCATTCTGGAAAAGACAAAACTATGGAGACCATGAAAAGATCAGTAGTTGCCAGGGGTTGGGTGGGGGGAGGAATGAACAATGGATTTGTAGGGCAGTAGAAATAATCTGTAGGGTGTCATAAGGATGGCTACATGTTGTCATGCATTTGTCCAAGCTTATAGAATGCACAACACCAAGAGGCAGCCCTCATGGTAACTATGGACTTTGGGTGACAATGATGTGTTGGTATAGGTGCATTTGTAACAAATGGACTGCCCTTGGGGATGTTGGTAATAGGGGTGATGATGTGTATGTGTATGTGGGGCAGGGAGTATATGGGAAATCTTTACCTTCTGCTCAGTTTTGCAGTGACTTTAAAACTGCTCTCAAGAACAAAGTCCTTTTTTTTTTTTTTAAATAAAGTCCTTTAAAGAAGCCAAAAATACAAATGCTGCACTTGGTGGCTGGCTAGTCTGCTCCCTCTAAACCAACACCTCTTGGCCTGGCTCACCACTGGATTGACCTAACACTTAAGTTTATTTTTATAATGCTTTAAATTTAATAAATAAATTAATTAGGAAGAAGGGAGAAGTTCAAAGTTCAATTGATTAGTTCTTGAACTAAACTGCTTGAGCTGCCTGACAAGCTCCTTTGCGTGGTGAGGGTGAGAGTCTGTGTGTTTTCATAGAATTCGCCTGTCAGGGAAGTCCAAACTGTGTGTGGTGTAGACACAGCCCACAAAGTGTTGTGAGAACTGATGAAAGCCGAAAGTCCTTTTAAATCCATCAAGTTCCAAAGGTGCCATGTAAATGTGAGTTTTACTTATTTATTTCCTTCATATTTTTCCCTTTTCTGGAGGACTTGAAGTGTTTTTGCAATTTACAATACCATGAAAAATTAAGCACTTAGGGCTAAAACAAAAAGGTTCCTCTATGGCAGTGGTTCTCAAAGTCCCCAGCCAACAGTAGGATGTCTCCTGGGAGCTTGGTAGAAATACAAGTTCATAGCCCCCCACCCCCCACCCAGCCCAGACCTTCCAAATCAAAAACTCAGGAGCAGGGTAGAGGGGGAGCAGTAATTTGTGTTTTAACAAACTATCCCGGGGATTCTGATGCTCACCCAAGAATGAGAACAATTTCCCCTAAATGAACAGAAAGAGGGGACATTACCAGATGTCTCAAAATAGCCGTTGACTTCCAATGAGCAGTGAACAAGACATCCTAAGAACTTTCTCTTGTGCTTTCACTAATACTATGTATCTTAAGCAAAGTTCTTTTGTGTATTTTTAGTTCTTACCTTTAATCTTTGGCAATTCAAGCATGAGTCTATGTCAGATAGAACTGGTCAAATAGACAGCAGCAGGCTGACAAAGACAGATTACCATAGAGCAATTTCATTAAAACTAGCAAAATACCTAGAATCCAAAATGGTCAGTCTAGTTACACTAGTTGACTTTACAAATAAATTGATCAACAACACAGTAAGGTCATTGTTCATTTGGGAATTAGCTATAACAACTCGGAGCACGTTAATCGAACGTAATTTTTTTTCCAAGTAAAATAATGCCAGATCAGCTTTACAAGATTGAGAGGGTTGTCTTAACCAACTAAGTTATGCCTTAGGAAGAAAGGAATCATGTGTCCTTGTCACCACTGACTGGTGTCAGGACAGGTTGTCTGAGAAGGATTGGAAGGAAGACCATCACAGGGCTTCCCAGGAAAGTATACACAAGTGACAAGCATTTCTCCTTCTGCCCTAGCATGGAAGGTTCCATCGTGCATCTGCCTCAGATCGTGGCTCTAAAGAAGAAATATAAGGCTTACCTCTACATAGACGAAGCTCACAGTATTGGGTCCGTGGGCCCAACTGGCCGGGGTGTTGTAGAATTCTTTGGACTGGACCCTCGAGATGTTGATGTGCTTATGGGCACATTCACCAAAAGCTTTGGAGCCTCAGGAGGTTACATAGCTGGAAGGAAGGTAAGCCAGGGATCCCTGTGTCTATTTAAAATCTGAAAGCTCTGGGGCACCTGAGTGGCTCAGTGGGTTAAAGCCTCTGCCTTCGGCTCAGGTCATGATCCCAGGGTCCTGGGATCGAGTTCCGCATCGGGCTCTCTGCTCAGCACGCAGTCTGCTTCTCCGTCTCTCTCTGCCTGCCTCTCTGTCTACTTGTGATCTCGGTCTGTCAAATAAATAAATAAAAATCTTTTAAAAAAATAAATAAAATAAAATCTGAAAGCTCTGGGGACATAGTCTGCGGGCTTCTGTGGATACCCTGAGAGCTTCAGCTCAGTTCAGCACACCTCAATAGATCATGGCAGCCTGGATACAGAGGGTCCAAGGCCAAATAGGCCCAGAATGGCAAAGAACTCACCCTGTAATGGTGAAGGGAAGCGTGTGATACGTAATCACGTTATAATAAAATGACAACACCAGCAGTGTACCTAGGCAAAGACTTGATACAAGGAGAGAGATAGTTAACTCTGCAGGTAGTAGCTGAGGAGTCTTAGAATAAATATCATTCTCAAAGGCAGAAGATGGGGGGAGGGTATATTTAAAAAAGAGGTAATAATGTATACCAAACCACAGAAATGATAAGGGAAGGTTACAGAGCTGTCGGTAGTTTGGTTTTGGGGGCATGAAAAACATAAAGTAGATAACAGCAACAGTGGGCAAAAAACGAGGTTGACTCTGCTACAAGTTCTGGGTTTTAAGAGTTTTCATCAAAATCGTGGCAAGATCAGAAACGCCCTTCTAAGAGTTTTTCTGTGCAAAATAATTCTCTCCTGCATGTTGGATAAGCCATAGGTCAAATTGGGTCACCCTCTGATACCTTTTTTTAAGGTTTTTTCCTTCCTTCCTTCCTTCCTTCCTTCCTTATTTTCCTTCCTTCTTTCTTTCTCTTTCTCTTCCTTTAAGTAATCTCAACCCCCCAGTGTAGGGCTCAAACTCATGACCCCTGAGATCAAGAATCGCATGCTGGGCCAACCAAGCCAGCCAGATGCCCCTCTCATATCTCATCTATAGGACTTAAAATTCTGATCTGATGGGATCAGACTATTGAGTGTTGTCCCAGTCATTTTGAGCCAATATCATCAAAGGGGTTGCCCATATAAACCAATAAATGTTAAAAACAAACAAACAAACAAACAAACTAAAGAAAGGAGGGAAAAGCCAGGGAGAAAAAGAAAATGAAAAATTCAAACCTGGCTTTGAGGGATAAAGAAGCCAGTGGTCTGCCCTGTATCCAAATCCTAAAGCTGTCTCACACAGACCTACACCTGTCCCAGAGTGACTTGTGAGAGTGATGTTGGTTCCACCAAGGAGACACACCAGACCCAAACCCACAGCATGCAGGTGGCATCACAGCTTATCCAAAATTCCCAATTCGTTACTCATTGTTACCAGTGGGAACAAGAGTTCAGACTCATGATAAACCAGTTAGACAAATCAGGGACTGCAGCAGGAGACAGTCTGGGCAATTGAAATCCTATGATTTAAAACAACAGATTTCACTGTGACCATGAGAGGCACAACTGCTTCAAATGTTCAGGGTTTACAGTGGTCTTGACCCTTCAACAAGCATTACTTTCTTCTGAGCTCAAAGCACTGTTTTCCATCCTCCCTCCACTGGCCTGTGGGAATTAGCTGCGTAATGCTAAAAACATCGGGAATGCTTAGGATCCTACAAAATTTAGCTGAATCTGGTGAAAGGTTAAATGTTCCTTCCTCAACGGTGGAAGCAGAGGGATCAGAGGTTCTCAAATTTAGGAGGTCCCTTATCCGGGCTACATGGCTTTGTGAGCTTGTGGTTTTGTGATTACTTTAGCAGCAGGTCTGAACTACAAAATTTTTAACCAAGCGTAACTCTGTTTCCTGAACCAAGGGCACCTGAATAAACTAAAGTGAGCGGATCCTTGAAATGTTGTCAAATTTGGTACATGTCACATTTTCCCCTTGGAGTTCCTTCATCGGATATCCACTTTAAACAAAGGCTGATGACTGGTCTGAAGTTAGGACCAGCTCACTCTGGCTCTCTCTTCCTATCCATCCTCAAGCTACTAGGACTGTTTTAAAAGTGTATTTATTTTTGTCTATGTAACTTGTATTCATTTGGGGTAGATACTGGGCAGTCGTGGAAAATCATTACTCACATTAATCGCAGTGCAGAAAAAATGTGTAGATCTGTTCATTTCCTTGCTCTTTAAAATATTCATTCTCTACATGCTTGGATGCAAAGAACTTCATCATCCCTAAGCCGCCTCCTTTTCGCTTTCCAGGAGCCTTTGTCTTCTCTTCCCCCTCCACACTACACTGCAGTCTCTAAATTTACCACTAGATGGCAGCAAGAATTAGAGTCTTTGGCAGAGGTCCATTAACCAAAGAGAGCCTTAACTTCCCTCAAACAGCAAGATAGATACAAAACCTGGAAAACATAGGGCAGTTTCAAGACATGGAGGGTGAGCCAGAGACTGGAGGCCACTTGGGAAAGTGTTTATATGCGTCGTTCCCTGATTTCAAAATCAGTCAAATGCACACCTATCTGGAATGGTTTTGATGAGTAACCGGTTTCCATCTGATTTGATAAGCCCAAGAGTTAATGGAATTTTTGCATCTGCTCATCTGTACCTTTACCTTTTTAAGTTATGTTAATTTTAAATTATGTGTAGTTTCCATTTAAGTCATAGTTTTTATTCCCCTGGATTTTGAATTATTTTTGCAAAAAAAAATTTTGACTTTGCATTTGTTTTAAACTATGCTTTTTAACTGAAAGGACAGGATTGGACAAATACTAACAGTTTTAATTTAAAAGAAACCTTTCTACTTGATTACTTAAATATTTAGAGTACAGTTTTTATAGCATTTTATCATATTTTTTCTTGGATATTTTAGAATGTATATCTCAATTTGTGTGATGGGTGGGGGGCGCGAGTAACTGCAAAATATCCAGGATTCTAACCAATGGGTACAAAAGCAACAAAATGAACCATAAAAATGTAAAAGCACACACACTGGGACTTTACATTTTCCTGAAACCCTAATAATTTCAATTTCACTATGTTCATGAGGATCTTAGTAAATCTTGAAATTTGAAAATAGTTACTTGGGTCCAAAAATCTAGAAAAAGATAAAACAGTCTGGCTCTCTTTTTATAGGTTAATGTTAGCATTAGTAGTAGAGGAACTATATTCCTAATAACAGTTTCTAGGAGGCTCTAGAAGTCTTCTGGAGTTAGTCAAGGTCAGGAATGTGTTTATTAACAACCAGATATGTCACAAAAGGAGAAGTGTTCGGAAACAAACAAAGGGAGAAAGCGTTGATTTGCTAAGATAGTATCTCAGAGAGTAGAGATTTTGTCTTGGCCTTGGGCTGCCTGTCACAGAATGTCCAACAAAGTCATTTCTGCTTGTTGGAATTTATTGCCCTGGCCTTGCCCTTCTCTCCCCACCTTAGGGAAACCGGCAAAACGGTCTCTCCAGAGCCAGCAAGATTTTGCAATTTTGTTCACTTTGAGTTTGGAGCTACTGTAGATGATCTGTGAACAACCCAACTTGGAACGCTCTGCCCTTTCAAGACCTCTGAGGTCATTACTTCTCTCTACCTGACAAGAGCTCCATGCCATGAATGTCTTCTCTAGAGGAAACCTGAAATGATGAAGCTAGATTTATGTTTATTTTATACCTTGTGCCAGTCCAGTGGCAGAGAAGGTATTTTCTAAAGACGCTGCTTTGTGGAGACCAAATGTTTCTCAGGCATGTATCCTAAGTCCCTTTGTATGCCTGCTGCTAACCACTGGCTTTCATAGTCTCCCCAGGCTGAGCAGAGACCTGCAAATGAGTGGAGCAAAGGTAGCCTTCATGACTGATAGGCCGCAGGGCTGGAATGCTGGAGGAGGGAAGTCAGACAGGGCAGCCAAGTTTGGGGTGAGCATCAGCCCCAGAAGCCTGGGCGCCAGACAAAGTCAGGCCCCTCGCAGGAGCCAGCCTCAGCCCCTGCTGCATTTAACAGTCCTTTGAAGTAAATGGGGGTCACGGTATGAACACCAAGATGTTTATTCTAAGAGCCTCCTGTCTGATTTCCTCAGCAAACCACCCTTGCCCTTGAACTCCAGGCCTATGGGTAGAGAAAATAATCAGGGTTTTGAACTTACAAATGGACTTGGAAACCTCAGTAGGAGGAGACCTCTAACCCACTCTGAAGGAAGACATAACCCAGACTTGCTCGAAGAGACCAAAGCCAACTCTTAATTCAAGGCTCCCAGTGCCCAGTGGCGGAATGCGAGAAGGGAATCAGGAATGGGGCTCTGCAGAAGTTACCTAAGGAGCCCCACCTTCAGAAGCATGCAAAAAAATTAACCCCGTCCACAAACAGACCCTCAGAGGAAGGGGACCCAGTCTAAAAGAGATAAGACTGTGGGCAAGAGAGTCTTAATGTTAAAAGGGAAGGATAACTGCCCCGATGAGGCATTTATTCAAACTAAGAATGCACGTGACCTTGGCTTTATGAAATTTCCCAATTTGGAAAGGAAGATTACGGGTTGGGGACATTGAGAAGAGCCCTTGAGGAGCCCAAGGAAGCTTTGTTTTGTTTCTTTGTCTGATCTTTGCCAGTGATGCCCCAAGACTATTTCTGTCCTTTTTCCTAAGAATGCAGCTTAGCAGTTCTCTATATACTTCGGTGACCCTCACCATCCTTCCTCAGTCTCTAAAACCCCTCTGCTTTTCATTAGATCATCGGTATTTACCAGGTGCCTGCTAGGTACCCACTGCTGTGGATTTCAGAGGACTGTGTAACTCCATCCCTGCTCTCAAGGGGGTCTCACTCACTTTCAAGAAATAAGAGCAATAGCCCCAAAGCATTTTGAGACTGATGCGATACACCCACCCACCCCCCACCCCCACCACAGGCCAAGCCAGCTCGCTGGTCTGGAGAAGAATTATAGTGTGGTGCTAAGGGCAGGGACTCCAGAGTCAGGCTCTTTGGGTCCAAATCCTTGTTATCCAGCCAGGCTTTGGTTGGATAATTTTCTGATCTGTTCCATGATTCAGGCATCCCAACTATAAAAGGGAGATAAAAATAGAGTGATTGGGCAGATTAACCCATGTAAAGTTCTTACACTGACGCCTCAAGTGGCCAAGGAATATCAGCTGTGGTCTTAGCTTCGAGCCCTATTATGTTTTCCGGGCCTTGCCAATTGTCATCAAATCTGGGTTCTCTTTTCTTAAAACGCTCTTCTCCTTTCTTTTCTTCTCCGTCCTTTACTACCCCAATAAGGATGGAGGAAGAGCTGGGCAGAAAACCTTTGTTTTGCTATCTGGGTGTCCCAATGTGTAGTTCCCTAACCTTAGAATGTTGCCCTCTGCCAAACAAGAGGACTGAAATAGAGACACTTTGAGGAGTTTTTGTGTTTGGGTCCCCTCCTCCCAACCCATGCGCCCAGCTCTAAGGTTTAGTAACTTGCCGGTGGTCATGTATCAGTAAGTAGAAGAACCAGGATTTGAACCCAAGCAGCCCATTTCCAGAGCTTGTCCTGTAACTCTTCGGTCACGTTTCCCTTCACAGTGATAACCTTGTCTTGGAAGTACTGGCTTCTCCCTCTACTCCCAATTGACTCCTCCATTCTTTGATAATAAGATGCCGTCCTCATTCCCAGTTTTAGCACAGGTCCATGCCTCTCCCCTCCTCTGCATCTGTTCAGATCTGCCCATCCTTCAAGGCCAGATAACCTCCTTGAAACAGCCCTTTTCCAGCCCAGGTCCACAGGAGGCCCCATTATAGTGTCACCGGCGTCCTACTCACTCTCTTCCGCTTGGCTTCCCCACCATTGTCAGGAGGCACCAACTCTCAACAAACAAAGACAAACCTTGTTGCTGCTCCTAGAGCAACACTGAACATAGAGCTGTGAGGAAGAGCCTATCTGCAACTACTCTGGAAAATGCCGTTCTCTCTTTAGGTGCTCCCCTCTCTGCCTCCTCCAGAGTGAGCTTTCTAAATACTGTGTGGCCGGGACTTAAGTCAGGCCATCATCCTGCATATACTCTTCAGATATAGTGAAAACCCACCCAACTGCTTGTATGAGATTCACTAAACAAGTGAAGAGATAGAAATTTAATTTTAATTTTACTGGCCTTTCCATCCTCCTTCTCTTCTTAGACTCCCACATCTAAAACAGAGCCTGGAGCAAGTCCTTGTACAAACATGCTGGAAGGAAAAAATGAAAGCAGGGAAGAAGGCCCAGGAGTAGGGAGAGAAGAGAAAAAGAAGAGGATAGGGAAGAGAAAGAAGGGAAGGAAAGGGGAGAGAGGAGAGGGGAAGGGGATGGGAGAGGAGGTGAAGGGAGAAGAAAATACTTAGGAATGGATAGAAAAAAAGATTTAAATGAATTTGAAACAAAAGAGGGAAATAGGAAATCAGAGTAGAAGAAAAGGAAGAAAAGAAAGAAATGAAGAGTGTGAAATAAAGGACAAGAGGGAGAAAGGAAGTTGGGGAAGAAGAATGCATGGAAGGCGGGATTTCGAATGAAGGTCACACTGAAGGGGGCAGGAGGGAGAGAGGTCGGGACCTCGTCTGGCCGGGTCCTCCTGTGGGCCAGATAGATGCATCATATCACCAACCACCTGTGAGACAGACCATTCACTTTACTGAGGAAGATGAACTAAGAATGTTTAAAATGCTTGTGAATGACCATGCCATCCATTCCCCAAGAGACGTGGGAAAGTGAAGGGTGGGCACAGTGCCAGGCTTGGAGGTAGCCGATGAGAGGGGTTTAGGAGGAGATGCACCTGTGCAAAGTAAGGCTCCTCCTAGTCACCTTTAGGAGGGAATGATCGGAGAAGACCTCTCAGAGGGATTCTTAACTGTCTCCCTATTCTTGAAGAGAAGGTGGCTGATCCTTAATAGACTCACTGCTAACGCAGAGAGCTAGCATTAGCCCATTAGCTTTTCTGCCGAGTGTCCCGAGGGTCCCAAGCCATGAACCAGAGCAGGTGAGCCTGTGGATGGACTGCTCAGCCGATAGATGGCTGAGCACCTCCAGTGCAGCCCTCCCCACTGGGCCTTGAGTTATTGGAACATCTTAAGGTTTTCAGCAGGCTTACCTGGGACCTTATATTCAGCCTTGGGAGTCAGGCATGCAAGTGAAGAATCGTTCCTACCACCCAAAGACCAGCAGTCAGTCAACACTCCAAGCGGTGCTGCACAAAAATTCCAATAGCTCTCTACTGTCCAAGACATAACCAGAGTTTACTTGGTCCTAACCTGCACTCTGGTTTAATTTCCCACCTCTTCCTTCTGCCACTCCCTAGCCCCACCCCAAGTTTTCTTTTCCTCTTTATCTGTCTTCATTCTTTAAGACAATTCTACTTCCTCACTGAAGCCTTCCCTGTCTGCTCCAGCCAGCAATACCCCTCTCTTTCATCTGCAATCTTATAGCCCTGTTGCATATACTGGTCTGTGTATCCTATTACTTTTCCTCCTATTACTTTTCCACAGGCACAATCTAATGTTATATGCTTAAGGGCAAGAACCACATCCTGTATTCCTGGATATTTCTAAGTACTAAACCAGTGTTTGTGCATGCTAGATATTCAACAAACATGTGGGAAATCATTCTCCTTTGTACCTATGGTTTTTGCCTTACAGACCTCAACTCCAAATTCTTAGCATCCCACTTCTGTATACCTAGTAGGTTTTTGAAGGAGATACTAAGAAGAAGAGATGGAAAAAATAAACATTTTGGTGATGCCCCTTGAAAATGTAGACGACATTCAAGAATCAAATGTCTTGTGTATTGGTGGATGGGAGGGGACTAGATACAATTCTCACCACCAACACTGAGACTTATTTGCTTTCTATTTTGGTTTCCTCTTTTATTAAAGGACCTTGTGGATTATTTACGAGTTCACTCACACAGTGCTGTTTATGCTACATCCATGAGCCCCCCAATAGCAGAGCAAATCATCAGATCAATGAAATTTATCATGGGACTGGATGGGACCACACAAGGTAAGAGGGTCTGCAGTGGGGGACAACTCCCACAAATCCTTTCTTAGACTTCTCTCTACCTTCCTTCTGCCTCATTCAGTCTGCCCCCTTCTCAGATATATACCTTTTCTTAATGTAACCCAATTTGTTAATCAATTTGTATAAACCCAATTTGTACATGATATATAATCATACATAGTACAAAAATGTACTAGAACTGCTGCCAACACACACACACACACAGAGAGAGAGAGAGAGAGAGAGAGAGAAATGCCTTTTTAAAGCAAAGAAAACTTTCTAATTTCTTCTTAATGTGATCAGCAAATCTGGATAATTTTGTGTAATCAGTTGCGTTAAAATGAAGCAAACAGTTGCCTGCACTTGCTTGGGGCCGTCACTTGTGTTTCCCTGGGCACACAGTAGGACCACTGCCCATTTGAGGATAGGTGGACAAAACATGAACAATAACTTTCCTTTTCCATTCCCTTTTTTTTTTTTTTTTTTTTTTTGCATTTGGTCACTACAGCCAAAGTGTGCTACTGTGTTCAACCCAAATGAGCTTAATCTTCTTTTGAAAAATTGTTTTAGCAAAGCCTTTTGGAACTTGCCTTCTGTCTTCTAGATATAGTTTACAGGACTTCTACTACATGTCACAGTGGGGATACAATGGTGAATAGGGCAGGTCTTGCCACCAGGCAATCTCCAGAGTGCATTTATGGAAGTAGCAAAATCTCCCAGCCCCAGGACTGGTGAAGGGACCATAGAATCCATGTGCTCCACCCAACCTCCCAGCTTGTGGGAAGCCCTCCACTGTTTACTGCCATCTTCCAAGCCTACTATTTCAGTAGAAGTGTGGGGAGATCCATTTCCCAATTTTATTAAAGCAGCAGTATACTTCACTCACATGCAAATTTTACCCAAAAGTCTACTATCTAAGACAGATTATAACAGAGCTGGGCTGGTTGAAGTAGCATGTACACCTACCTCAGTACTGACAGCCCCTGTGGCCCTTCTCCTGAAGCCTAGAGCCCCCCCAGGACACCAGTTTGAAAACCTCAGGAAAATGGCTTGCAGAGTGATTTTGTTCCTTCATGTAAAATGCAGTGATTAATGGTTTTCCGAAGCCTCTTCCAACCTCGTCTTTGGAGTTTTATGATTCTGTCTCTTGTTGAATAGTTGGTGTGAAAAGGAAATGGAAATCCACAATCTAGGGAGGCCACGTGGTGCAATGGTTAGGAACAGAAACTGAAAGTAAACTGGAATCCTATGGCTCTGTGGCCATAGGCAAGTGATTTAACTTACCTGTTCAGCTCTGGGCAAGTGACTTCTTTGTGCTTCAGTTCATCCAGCTATAAAATGAGGAAAATAATACTGACAAGCTCATGCTTTTGTGAGAATCAAGTAAATTAAGTTATACAAAATACTTAAAATTATGTCTGAAAACAATTATTTAGTAAGCATCGTATAAGTGCTTGCTGCCATTATTTGCTACTATTATTGAGGTGTTTAGTTCTCGGGGGAGAAGTATTTGGACTTCATCTCTGGGATGCTGTAGGAAAGATTCTTATGAAGGAAGTCAGGTAAGACTGGGTGTCCTCCAAGGCCCTGGATTAATCAGGATAAGCAAAGTTATGCCACCATAACAAACCAACCCTGAAAATCTCTATGGCTTAACAGAACTGAGTTTTATTTCTTGCTCACACCAAGTCTAACACAAATCAGATAACTCTCCGCACAGCTATCCTCTAAAGAAGCACCAATTAAGCCTACTTCTTGCCTCCACAGTCCCTGTGGCAGGGAACAGAGAAACTTCAGCCTGGAAGTGGCACCACCTTGCTTATAGTCCTTTGGCCAAAACCAGGCATATGACCAGACCTGGATTTGAGGGAGGAGCTGGTAACTTAAAGGATGTGGATATGGATAAGCAGAAATCTTTCAACTTGTTAAACCTGAAGCTGGAAATAAAGCTGCATCTGTGCCCACATGAACTTTCTGGTTGTATGAAAAAACTAGTCTGGAACCAGTGGCTGCTCACATAGCCATTATTAATGATCATATTGAAATTTATTCATTTCTCCTTTTTTAAGATTTTATTTTATTTATTTGAGAAAGAGCATGAGCAGTGGGAGGGGCAGAGGGAGAAGAAGATGCCCCCACTGAGCAGGGAGCCCAAAGCAGGGCTTGATCCCATACCCTGGGATCATGACCCACAGAAGGCAGACACTTAGCCGCAGAGGGACCCTGAACTTCATGCATTTCTTTTTTTTTTGTTTTGTTTTTAATATGTTAAATTAGCTAACATACAGTACATCATTAGTTTTTGATGTAGTATTCAAGGATTCATTAGTTGCATATGACACCCAGTGCTCATCACAACAGGAGCCCTCCTTAATATCCATCACCTGGCTACCTCATCGCCCCCACTCCCTTCTGTAACCCTCAGCTTGTTTCCCAGAGTCCAGAGTCGCTCATGGTTTGTCTCCCTCTCTGATTTCTTCCCCTTCAGTTTTCTCTCCCTTCCCCTGTGGTCCTCTGTACTATTCCTTATGTTCCACATACGAGTGAAACCATATGATAATTTTCTTTCTCTGCTTGGTTTATTTCAATTAGCATAATCCCCTCCATTTCCATCCATGTTGATGCAAATGGTGGGTATTCATTCTTTCTGATGGCCGAGTAATATTCCATTGTATATATGGACTACATCCTCTTTATTCATTCATCTGTTGAAGGGCATCTTGGGTCCTTCCACTGTTTGGCCATTGTGGACATTGCTGTTATGAGCATTAGGGTGTGTGTGCCCCTTCTTTTCACTACATCTGTATCTTTGGGGTAAATATCTAGTAGTGCAATTGCTAGGTTGTATGGTAGCTCTATTTTTAACTTCTTGAGGAACCTCCATACTGTTTTTCAGAGTGGCTGTACCAGCTTGCATTCCCACCAACAGCGTAAGAAGGTTCCCCTTTCTCCACAACCTTGCCAACATTTCTTGTTTCCTGTCTTGTTAATTTTTGCCATTCTAACTGGTATAAGGTTGTACTCATTGTACTCCATGCTTTTCTTAATGGAAAACAATTATTTAAGATTTAAGTTAAAACGCAAGTTAAATGAATTGTCCTACAATAACTGGAATTTTCCTTTGGTCTTATCTTAAAGATAAATAACTAGGAAAGTTACCTGAAAATTAGCGTATGTCTCAGTAAGGATCACTGGTTTCTTTTTTTTTTTTTTAAGATTTTATTTATTTATTTGACAGACAGAGATCACAAGTAGGCAGAGAGGCAGGCAGAGAGAGAGGGGGAAGCAGGGTCGCTGCTGAGCAGAGAGCCCAATGCAGGGCTCAATCCCAGACCCTGAGATCATGACCCGAGCCGAAGGCAAAGGCTTTAACCCACGGAGCCACCCAGGTGCCCCAAGGATCACTGGTTTCTTAAGCCCTTTAGTGTATATGCTGTCAGAAGCAGTTGATTTATGTGTAGTCAACCTGACAGTCATTCCCTTCCCTCCTCTGGATTGGTTTCCCACTTCATCATAGATAGAACTCACTTCATTTATCTGGTCACAGCTGAAAATCTGCAGAAAAATCACATTGGAAGATACAATCATTTATTCTATGATAGTCATCTGTCATCCATTTTTCTTCCTCTGAGGTGGGAGATATCTCCTTTGGTTCTCTCTTTTCACCTAATAATTAAAGAATTACTTGCTTATTATTTTTTTTTACCTCCCACTTAAAGTTTCTCACTTTCCTCCTCTTGCCATCTTAATAGGGAAAAGAGAGAAAGAAAGAACAGAGAAGGCAATGTATGAAGCCTGTTTTCTTAGAGTCAAGATGGGAGAACCCGGGGGAAAGATAGGACAATTTCTTTTTGAAGGGGTCAACAAAGGAAAGTAGTAGAAGAAAAAATTGACTGAATCATCCGCCAAGTTTCAGATGGTTCTATGTGACACATCTTTTGAAGAATTCAAAGGCACCAGTGAGTGTTCATGCTGGTCTCATTGACGACAATGCCTGCTTTAAATAAAATTAATAGGACAGGTTGAGAACATTGCATTAACTCACCCGTCTCTGCCGAGATACACGGATTCTCGGGGTAAAGTTGTCTGGAGCTCAGAGGGGCACACTGTGTCATTCCGGAGCTGCCTTACAGGATCTGAGAAAGAGAGCACGGCTCCAAGCCTTCATGTTTAGCCCACTCCACTGCAACTGTGATTGGAGCCTTTCAAGGCTTTGTTTCGGGTTGAGTTTGGGGAGCAGTTGGCCAGATCTGTCCCTTGATGAATATCTTCACTTTAATCTGCAATGCAAAGCCATAGCCTTCAAAGAAAGGCAAGCCACAGGAATAAGGTCAGGGTTCCTTTGAAGCCAAGGTTCAAAGATGAAATAGCAGTCTCTGTGAAATGACAACGTTTATGCACAAACAGCCACCTTCCCTCTGCAGCCGGGCTGCTTGTGGAGTTCGGGCACACGGACTGAGAAGCTGTGGGCTGTGCAGGCATTCATTCCACGTGCACCAGGGCCCTTCTAATCTCCTGACCTGTCCCATCATGCAGTGCAATGAGCCCAGAGTGGAGATTTGGTTTCTCCATCCTCATGGTTGTTGAGTGGTCCCTAAGCCAAATCAGGACTGTAAGCCCTTTAAGGGCAAGAAATGTGTCTTGAATTAATCTGCTGTGCCTCGGAGTGTCAAACCCAGTGCTCGGCTTAATAAATACATCACGATTCAACTTCCATCTTGCCGGCCTACTCGGTTTCAGGTCAGAGTTTCTGCTAAACCAGGTCAAGGGAATGCTTATCTCAGAGGAGTGGAGGCCAGGAATGTGTTCCACACCCGTGAGGCAGCTGAAGGGATCACTTAGTACTGGGGACCCGCTGTAACTGACATCACTTTTGAAGAGGTCCAGGAAGATCGCAGCAGCTCTGTCATTTGCTTCGCCTCCACTTGGCACAAACAGTTGACAGGGCAGGGCCCCAAATCATAGCAACCCCCCTAAGGAAAGCACCAGCAACAGGTGTCTTG